ATCCGACCAGCGAATAGGAACCTCGTTAAGGCCCACTGAATCATACATCTGATCCTCATCATCGCTGTTAACTTTCCCCTCTGTCAGCATAAATAAGGGCCTAGCATTGTCCATCTCAAGCCCCTCTTGACTGTCTGTGGACGAGGATTCCTCTGAATAGCTTAGCTTCAGCATCTTTCCAGCTCTCGCCCTCTTGCCGGGCCTCTCTTTTTCCCTCTCAGCCTTCCTTACCAGCTGACTCTCTTCACCTCTAGATTCTTTTAGGAGGCCTTGTCCCTCCACCTTCATTATGTTTTCCATGTCCCTTGGATGCTGCTCTGCAACGCTAAAATGTTCTCCATTAAATGCCTCCAAGAAAGCAACCATCACATCTTCCTCAATTGCATTACCATCAACCACCGTCTTCACCTTTAAATGTTGCACCATGACATCTTGTTGGCTGACCTCCTCCATCTGTCTCTCTGTTTCTTCCACACCCCATCCTCTGCCATGGTGCCTCCGACCCGCCTTACAGTCCTTCATCAAGTGGTCTAATGAGCCGCAGCTGTGGCAAGTCTTAGGCATGCTGCACTCTTTAGCCGTGTGACCTAGCTTGGAACACCGCTGACATCTTTCTTCACCACATCTGCCATCATCGTGCCCGTACCGCCTGCACCTTCTACAGAAAGAGGGCTGCCGAGAGTAGAACAGGAAACCATTATCAGCCCCAATGTTGAAATATGCAGGAGGGTGCTTCAACCCCTCAAAACCACTGTCGTCGGTTTTCAAAAGAACTTGAAATTGTCTTTTCCCATTCCATAAACCAACACCATCTTTTAAATATCTTGCAGGTGTGAGGACTTCAGCATAATTAGCAAGTAACGTCGTCAATGCTTCAGTAACCTATGGATTGAACATGTGTAGTGATGACTCTGAAATTGGGTCTGTCAAGGCTTACCACATTGAATTTCCCCATGATACCATCTTTGCCACTCTTCCCAACTTTATCCATCACATCTTTGTACAATTCCACTAGGGATGCTCCGATCCACCTTTTTTCTTTCCGATACCGATTCCGATAACTGCAATTCAGTATCGGCCGATACTGAGTACCGATCCCATACAAAGGTAAAATGTTAAAAAAGTGCTGAATTACTTTATGTATTATTACTGAATTACTAGGCATTATTTTGCAAGATATCAGGCTCGACTTCAACTTTTTTTAGCCTTGTAAAACAAAATGACAAACAATGTATTCACAAGTTTAGTGATTTATTTATTGCACCAGAGCAACAAGTGCAAAATAAAATAAGTTCAGTAGCTTAAACTTGACATTCAAAATTAAAGTGCAAAATTTGTATAGGTTGCTTAATCGATGCTATTTGCACTGCAAATAGGAATTAAGCATCCAAAATAAAAGCAGCTGAATAAAACAACAGCTTAACTAGCTTGGTAAATGTGTACAAATAAATAAAAACAAAATCTCTTTATAACTGTTTAGTTAGTGCAACGTTAGTGCAAATATAACTTTGAAATCAATGCACAACAAACAATAAAACAGCTAAAATTTAACACAAAAAAGCAATAGCTTTACTGCTTAAGATGTTCAAAATAACAGGATTCAGTTTTCAATGCTTTAGTGGAAATATTTAACATCCAACTCAGAAACAAAAAACACTAGCTTTACAAACTGAAATTTAACATCCTGTTTAACAATTTAACATATCACTCTCAGTCTCAAACATCATTGTACCCAGGGGGCAAAACACCTGTTTTTTAGGAAATCAGACATGGGCTGCTGTAAAAGGTTGTCATATAAAAATGAAATCTACGATGTCTGAGGATCACAACCTGGGTGGACAACCCGGTGAACAAGCTGTTGAACACTTCTGTTGTGACAGATACAGTGGACCAAGCCTTAAGTCTGCTGAGCAAAGCCGGAGGTACACACAAAAATCTGCCAAAGTATATGAAGTTAGTGAGCAGTTCACAGCTCCAGATCCACAGGAGTTTTTTTCTGTATCAGCCAATAAAGCAAATCTCCTTCAATTCCTCTGTGAGAGGTGGTGTGAGCATGAACAACTCAAGCCTCCTATAATTGGCCTGACTCGTATCTACCTGGGTGGTGGATTTAAAGAAGAGACAAAGACCGTTGTGCTTGCAGATGGTTCTGTCAGGGATGTTCCTGCTCTTGAGTCCACACAGAAGGAGGCAGACACAAGGATAATACTCCACACCCTCTACAGTGTCCAGAATGAAGGAGTTGGCAGAGTTGTCATCCATGCCAATGACACAGAAATCATTGCCATGTGCCTGTACTATGGTTCAACATACCTCAGTACTCTCCCAGAGCTGTGGGTGAAAACAACAGAGAATGCCTATCTGCCCATTCATGAAATGGTAGCAGCACTGGGACCTTCACTATGCTGTGCTATGCCATTTGTCCACAGTCTTAGTGGAAGAGATACAACTAGTTATCCTTATTTCACTGGTAAGAAGTCTTGGTTCAAAAGCAGCATGAGAATGGACATACCTGCACTTGAAGAGTTTGGTCAAAATACAACTGATAACATAACAGATTACCTGCTTCACCAGGCACGAGGCCTCATCATAGATGTGTATACATCCTCAGCTGATCACTTTGAAGATTCTGATCTGGGGACACTGAGAGCATACAAGTTATTGAACAACAAATCAACACTCTTAAAGCTACTTCCTCCGACTGAAAACGCATTTCTCTTCCACCTTAAACGGGCAGCTCTGGCAAGCATCATTGACAAGAATGCAGATATTGCCAAGCCAGAAATTCCCCCCTTCAGGAATTTTGGATGATTTCTGGATGAGGGCCAAGCAGTTGAAGGCAATTCACATTTGGCTAAGCCACGCCCCTAGAATGTAGATTGACCAATCACAGCCCAGCCAAGAACCAGCTCCCACAGAGGTCCGACACTTTTTGACAGCACTCCATTGACTTTCAACACAGGCGTCTCATATTTTTGGTCTCGGCAGGCTATTACCGTCGTAGTTTTATCCAAAATATGGTTAAACGTTGTGCCTCGGGCATTTGCAACACAGATACGCGTTTCCCAGAGAGGTTGGAGGGGGGTGTCCGTTTTTTCCCTTCCCAAAACCGAAGTAAAATCCTGACAGTGACAAGTCTCGTGTTTGGATTAAACTGTATGGACGTCCTCAGTCAGCTAAACCCCGCAAATATCAACAAGCACATCTTTTTTGCTTCTAACCTTACTGTGAGTGTGAAGTTATACTAGTTAGACCGTTTTATAATGTTTTAGGTTATGATTTCGGTTCTCATACTGGTTGTTGATACGCTAGCACATGCTGCTAATAAATACAATGTTATACAGTACTCGTGTAGTCCGTTTGCTTTGTAATAATGATTATAGAAGTGAATAGAGACCTACCCAGCTTTGCATGAACAGTGTTGCTCCCTGATATTGTTATAGTCCCAGCCTCCGTCTCCATTAGTAGGAAATGCGATGGTTCATTTTTTTGACTGTGACCGGTAACGTTATGCTTTTGCCTCTATTTTGGATGCCTTGTTGTTTCTTGCGTTTCACCTGTGTGTCTTGAATATAGCCTCTGAACGCATATTGCAGCCCCTTTTGCCTACTTCTATCAGACACTTTATATGCTGCTTTATAAAAGTTTGATACCATTTCAGCAGGAACAGCTGTTACAGCATAAGCCATGCAGAGCGCAGATGAAGTTTGACGGATGTAGCAACAGTAACTAAGGGGGGCGGGGCTTAGCCAAAGGTGAATTCCATGCTACATAGGATGCCATTGCCAGGGGTTGGCAACCAAATGTAGTAGGATACAGCATGCTGAAACACTAGAGAGCAGCGACAGCAGCAGTGACTCCGAAAACAGCTATACAACTTGTATAAACATTATTACAGAAATTAGTTATCACCCTGAATTGTAATCTGTTTGTCTATTTCATTAATTATTATTATTGTTATTGTTTTTTTGTTGTTGTTTTTTTTTTTTTTTTACAAATTGCTGCTTAATGTAACAGTTTTAATCATTAAATACTTTTAAAACTACTCCACACATGATTCCTGTGTGTTTTAGTATTTCAACATTTAGTTGTCAGTACCTTTGTCTCACACTCAGAAACCAGCCTAACCCAAAATCCTCAAATCCTTTTTTTTTTGATAGAATAAAGCTATCCCACTTGTGAAAGAATATTACAAATACTAGACATTGCAATACAAATAATATATATATTGCATAAATATGCAAACTATATACTGTACATACATAAACATCAGTTAATGGTTAACTTCTTTCTTGGAACTAGTTTGAATTGACAGGCTATTATAGGCTTGAAATTGAATTCCCTCTAAATTTGTTATGGACCATAGGGACTGTATGGTTAGTGAAAATGATCAAAATATGATTTCATCTAGTAAAAGTTAACTTCACATGGTAATTTGTTTATTTTAACAACAACAAAGGGTAAAGAATGTTACCGATTACAAATGGAATGTTATATATTTTTTTTCTTTTTTTTTTGCCTACCTATGAATTAAGAGGCATTGCTCACTCTTACTTTCTAATTACATGTACAGTCAATGCATCAGATGAAAGCTTATCTTCCACTCTTTTGAACGGTATGCTCAGTTTGTTTCTAGCATAAAGTACCAGGGAGATATGGCTCAGGATTCATGAATATAATCAAACCGTTTTAGCATGTTTGGGTGATTCCGGGGAGTTAAAGCAGAATTTGAGGTAGCATTGTTTTGACCCTAATTACAAGTTTCCAGCAGCTTGTTCACCGGGTTGTCCACCCAGGTTGCGATCCTCAGACATCATAGATTTCATTTTTATATGACAACCTTTTACAGCAGCCCATGTCTGCTAAACCCCCTTTGCCCCCTGGGTATTGGCAGGTTCTTGCATAGGAAAGCAAGCATCTCTGCTCTCTCAGCTGTCAGCCTGTTTCGCTTTTCATCCAAGATACAGGAAACTGTGCTGAAGAGCCTCTCACTTTCTACGCTAGTGCAGGGTGCACAAAGGTAATTCAAGGCAACGGAAGCAAGACCAGGAAAGCGCTGGCGGTTGACTTGCCAGTATTTGTATGGGTCGTGTGTGACAAGGATTGTTTCCTCTGTAAAAAAAACCATGCATTTGGACAGCAGTGCTGGAGCAGCTAGCAGCACCACCAGGTTCCTCACGCTCCTCTCGAATTCTATCAAATTCTTTCATGAAGCTACTGCTGCTCTTACTGCTGCATGAAGCCACTGCTGCTTCAAGTTCTGCCCGGGAGGCTTTTTCTGGTGGCTCTGAAAAATCTGATGCCTCTGCCTCAACATCTGTGGTGGTCCTCAAGTCTTCCTCCAGTTTTTTGGCCAGTGCATCTTTACCATGCTTTGCAGACTCTGAACTGGTAAAGAATCTGAAAAAGATACACACATACATAACATAGTTACATGGTACATCATACCAACCAGATGGCAGCACATTTATCCTTTAAATCTGACATCAAAGTTTATCTATAGTCTACATGTACTTATGTTGTTCAATATTCATATTCTCAGTTCTATTAAAAGTAATCATTTTACATCATGGGATCATCTTTAAATTTACAGTCACAGAGTAGACTAGTATATGTGTCACAGTATATATGAAAAACAAAGTAAATAATAAATGCAGCTCAATAACGTCAACTAAGTTAAAAAAATTACTTGATTTATTTGCCTGTTTTTATGTTGTGTTTATTTTCTGTGGCCAGCAGTCGTCCGGGAGGGGCTGCTAGTTTATACTTTAATTTTTGTATGAGTTTTATTTATTTATTAAAATGTTTGAATGTTCGCCGGTTCCCGCCTCCTTCCCATAACATCTGAACTGCGTTACAGTCAGCTACACATGTCATCTGAATATTTATTTATTACATGGCTTGATTGGATGCTAATGTAGAATGTAATCTGTTATTTCTTGATAACAGACCGCTGGCGCTGCTAAGTAAAATGACTTATAACACACCGTTGCCATGGCAAACAGAGCTGTTACGGGTGTGTGGTACTGGAAACACGAGGAGACGAGGAATACCAGGAAACAGGATGTTTAATTACCAAAACTTAGGAACCACAATATCACACATTACATGAACGAGAACGGACAAGGAGTGAGGAGAACACAGGGTTTAAATACACTAGAACAGACTAGGGGAACAAGGCACAGCTGGGGCAAATTAACCTAACACAGGTGAAGGGACTGAATACAAACGAGGAGCGGGAAAATAGAAACAGGACTGAACCAAATGCACAAAGAATGGGGGACCACAGGACACACATGTAACATTACGCCCCCTCCCGAAAAGGCGCGACCTCGCGCCATAGAACTTCAATGGGGTGGGGGGTTGGGCGCCCTGGAGGCTGACCAGGGCGAGGCCTATCCAGAGCAGGAAGCCTCCAGGGCGGAGCAGGACGTGGACAGTGCGGAGCAGGCTGAGGGCGTGGCCAGGGCGGAGCAGGCTGAGGGCGTGGCCAGGGCGGAGCCGGTAGCGCCGGGGCCCAGGGTGGATCATTTTTCTCAGGTGGCCATGGCCGAGTCCTATATCCCCCCCCCCAAAATTTTCTTGGGGAGAGTTACAGGCTCAGGAGCATGCTCTGGGATAGGCTCGGGACTGGACGGGACCAGCGGAGTGGGTTCGGGACTGGACGGGACCAGCGGAGTGGGCTCGGGACTGGACGGGACCAGCGGAGTAGGCTCGGGCTCGGCAGGGCTGGCGTGGAGCTCGGGCTCGGCAGTATAAGACTCCGGCTCAGGAAAAGCAGAACCTGGTTCAGGCGCTGGCGGGCAGGCAACGGGCTCAGGCGCTGGCAGGCAGGCAATGGGCTCAGGCGCTGGCGGGCAGGCAACGGGCTCAGGCGCTGGCGGGCAGGCAACGGGCTCAGGCGCTGGCGGGCGGGCAACGGGCTCAGGCGCTGGCGGGCAGGCAACGGGCTCAGGCGCTGGTGGGCAGGCAACGGGCTCAGGCTGGACACTCTCGGGCTGGACGGTCTCTGCATGACGAGGCTCTGGACCCTGGGCGGTCTCGGTGGGACGAGACTCTGGGACTATGGCCTTCCTGGCAGCACGTGCTGATGTCAGCGGTGGATCAGCCACGCAGGAAATTAATCCTGGACAGCCATAAACTGAACTGGTAGCTGCGTTGATGGTTGCCATGAAATGACGTTCAGGCTTGCGAAGACAGTCGCGGAACGTAGGCTTGGGAGGGCTGCCAGCGAGCGCAGGCTCGGCAGGGCTGACGGTGAGCGCAGGCTCGGCAGGGCTGGACGGGACCAGTGAAGAGGACGGTTCGGCTGTTACCGTGAGGGACGAACCACAGACCCACAGAGCCCGGTCCAAAAACTCCGAAAACGACAGATGGAGATCATTGAGCAGGAGAATCTGGGCTAAGGGATCGTCCAAACCTCTCCAGAACCGTTGTTTGAGAAAATCTTCCTCCCAGTATGGGTCCTGGTGCAGGTGAAGATATACCTCAGTGAATTCCTCCAGAGAGGCCCCATTTTGATCAAAGATGAAAGCCTCCATCTGGTCGTCCATAATGTAATTTAGGTCCGTTCTTCTGTTACGGTTGTGTGGTACTGGAAACACGAGGAGACGAGGGAGACGAGGAATACCAGGAAACAGGATTACCAAAACTTAGGAACCACAATATCACACATTACATGAACGAGAACGGACAAGGAGTGAGGAGAACACAGGGTTTAAATACACTAGAACAGACTAGGGGAACAAGGCACAGCTGGGGCAAATTAACACAGGTGAAGGGACTGAATACAAACGAGGAGCGAGAAAATAGAAACAGGACTGAACCAAATACACAAAGAATGGGGGACCACAGGACACACATGTAACAAGAGAGTTGCCATAGAGCGTTGCCGTTTTTTAAATCAATAACCTCTTTTTTAAATCAATATTTTGCGTCAAATTATTGATTTATTTAATAGGTAGCAATGTAATATGACATTCTTTACATTTTACATTATCCCTTACATATAAAATAATTATTAATTGTTTACAGTCTTACCTGTCTTTGTATCTTGGGTCCAAGAGGGTTGAAAGTGCAAACAGAGGTTCATCTTCCACTGTGCTGAAGCGTTTATCGATAGCTTCGAGGAGGGTCTTTTTCATAGTTTTAATCCCAGAGTCGGCATCGGTGTCAGTGGAGAGGACTCGTTTGAGAACAGTGACACTTGGTATTACATCAGCAGCAGAGGCAGTGGATGAGCTCACCTTCCTGGTAAACTCCTCAAATGGTTCCAGGCAGGTCTTTGTTTTTTCAAGCAAGGCCCACTGGTTTGCCGTGAGAGTTGTGGGTAGGTCATGGTCCGCAGCATAGGCTGACAGAGCTCGCTTCTGTTCCAGCAGACTCTCTATCATGAAGTAGGTGCTGTCCCACCTCGTTCGCACGTCTTGTTGGAGGCGTTTTGGTTCCATGTTCATTTCGAGTTGTATATCTTGAAGCCGGGAATATGCGAGTGGAGAGTGTTTAAAATGTCCTACTATGTGTCTCCCACCTGCAACAGCATCACTTACACTGCGTTGGGAGAGAAGTCCCTCGATCACAACAAGCTGCATTGTGTGAGCAATGCATCCTAGACTGCGTACTCCCATGATGTCCATTGCTCTTTTCATGTTAGCTGCGTTGTCTCGAAGAAAAACGTGGACTCTGCTCAGCGGGATGTGCCACTTGTCAAGCATTTCCTTTAGAGTAGCTGCAATCGTGTCGCCGGTGTGTGACCCGCGAAAGTTTGTTGCATTTAACATGGCAGTTTTGGGCACAAAATTCACATCCAACCAGTGTGCCGTTAAACTTAAAAGTGACATGGGAGAGACGTCAGAGCTCCATATATCTGTTGTAAAACTCAGTACTTTGACATCTTTCAATTCTTCGTATATGCGTTTGCACATTTTTTGGTAGTGTTCAGGTAGAGCAGTCTCGGATAAATATTTCCGCTTCACCATGTTGTACCGTGGCTCTAGATGGTTTATTAGGAGTCTGAAGCCCTTGTTCTCAACGACGGACAGCGGTTGCCCATCCATAACAATGAAATTCAGTATGCTTTCAGTGATTTTTGCTGCTTTCACACTACCATGTGGAAATTTCTGAATTCTTTCCGTTGTCTCCTCCAAAGTTAGCTGCTTTGCGCCTTCGCGTTTTTGTTTTTTCAGCTTGTTGAATCTCTGTAAATGCTTCATTAAATTTGTTGTATTATAATTCGAAGTTTTATCACCACCCCTCGGAACATTTACTTGGCATATACTGCAAACCGCGTTGGAACTTGTTGGCATAACTATTGTGAAATACCTCCAAATACCTTCAACTTCATCTTGTCCAAAAGTATAACCCATGCAAACACTTCTCTCTCCATCATCTCCAACGCAGACTCCTTCATTTGAAACCGCAAAGTATTTCTCAGTCCCGCCCTTGGGACTGAAGGCGCCGTTGCACCTGCCATCATTCCTTCTCCAAAGATCAAACAGATTTTTTTTATATTTTATTTCGCCAGACCATACATCACATCCATCAAAATAAAGTACAACAAAATTTGCATTCATTTTGATATTTTTTCATAACATGAAACTCATGAAGCCCCCCAAAAAACAAAAACCAAAACACAAAATCAGAGCATAAAGACCTCCTTCTCTTTACCCCACCCCCACTCTCGATAACCCTCCCCATGTTTTCTTCGTTATACCCTCCCCAAAACACTCTTTGAAGGCTTCTACCTCAACTCTCATTTTACCCAAAAGTCTTGAGAACAGTCTCTCTGGCGCCAAAAGAGGTATCTGCTTCCTCAAACATGTTGTTCTCCATTCCCACAAAACATGTTTACCCTCTGAAATCACTCCCCAAATTACCCTCCTACCCATTCTCTCAAATGGTCCCAGACCTTCACCATATAGCACTAAGTTTCTTGTAATTTTTGGCCCCTCCCATACCTCCCACCACTTTATTACTGACCTCCAGAGCATAACTGCCCCTGGACTGGACCACAATGCATGCTCTACTGTTTCTTCTTGAGGACAAGAAATGAAAACCAAGGCGATATGATGAATGTCCGAAGATGGAACTCTGTAACGGCCACCTAGTGTTAAGTAGTGTTCTTTACAGGTTGATATGCCTTTAAAGGTGCAATGTGTAACAAAGTTGAGTATCTATTAACAGAAATGCAATATGACATCCATAACTATGTTTTCAGTGGTGTATAAAGAACTTACTTAATTAACCGTAATGTTTTTATTACCTTAGAATGAGACATTAATAGCTCCATAACCGCGGGAATCCCCTTCTATGAAGGTCGCCATGTTGTGACGTCATATTCCTACCGTAGCCGAACGCGAACACACAGTGCTACAGAACGCGTTTCATCACTACCTTGAAAGAGAAGTAGCGGAAAGCTGGAAGCTAGCCTTACACTCCGTGAGTAGTGACTTTTCCCTTGTGAGTGGTGTAAAATATGTAGTTGGGATTGTTTCATGTAACTTAGTTCTCCCTCGCTGTGTTATGGGTTTGTTATGTTGGGGATAGATGTGCTGTTACGTTCGTGAGACAGCTGATGATTAGTATTCATGTCATTGACCGTAAAACAGTACGTTACAGGAATCACTAACCCGTCGATAGAGACTTTTACTAAAGTCTTTTATCACTAAAGTCGACGCGAAGATTTTTCAAAATCAGAGAAAAAAAGCCTATTGTGTGTAGTAAATAGTATCTAGCTATGGGATGCGGAGATGACATGATTGTAACAGCGCGCGCAGTTCCGACCTTTGGACTCATGCGGACGAGTCCCAGCTCAGCCACAGTAACAGCTCATATTAGCCAGCTAAACTATTAGCACTACCCTGTTAGAAAAAATATATAGCTGCTCCCTCGCTGTATTATGGGTTTGCTACAGTATGTGGGGATAAATGTGCTGCTGGTTACGTTTGTGAGACAATCAGCTGATTAATATTATTTTATTAAATTATATATTAAAACCCTTGATCCTCACCTGACTATGGCTTTGTAAACAGTATTCATGATGTGGTTTATAATGGACTGTGGTACAATAACAGTGACAATGTTACACACTCTTGGCTTACTCTGGCTATTCTCTGCTGTCTCAGCCGACGAGATGTTTGTCCCGTTTTAGCAACCGTAGCTTCTTCGAAAGGGAGGGGTGAGCAGTGGGCTGAGCCCTTAGTGCAAACCTGGTGCAAACTCGCAACCGAACCACTAGATGTCGCTAAAAGTCACACATTGCTCCTTTAAGATGACTTCTTCTATGGCGTTCGTTATTGTATGCGTAATGTTGTTATGTGAGCGCGCACGCTCAGTGAGAGTGAGAATGCTCGCGCAAAGAGGAAGATGACCACTCTATCGCGGCTGTTGTTTTATTATAATGCGTTTACTTCCACTTTGATTTGTAGCGTTTTACAGAGTGTTTTCTTTAACCTGTTAACAACCGCTCTTTCGACATGTATGTAAAGAGTGTGCTTAACTGAAAGAAAGATTCTTACCCTTTCTTTGACTTTTTTTCTTTCACAGTACTTTCCATCTCATCATCATCCTCTCCAGGGAAAAGATTGCTTTTAGGTCTAAGTAAGAACATATTCCATTAATTCAAGATATGCAATTATTAGTAAATGATGTGTACCACCAATCAATTAAAAAACAAAACAATAAAACACATTCTTCCCCCTACATTCTTTTTCTTTTAAGTTTATTTGGTGAAATCCCTCCATCACTTCCAATGTCAGTGTGATCAACAGCTTGAGGAAGTTTTCTTCTAGCTTCATTGTAGTCATCTGGGAAAGTAATTTTAAATAATACATTAGGCATTTTAGTAATACATTAGTTCAGTTCATAGGAAGAAGTGAAAGAATATTACTTACGGGATGTGAAAATAATTCTGGCCTTATGGGGCTTCCATTCTTCTCCAGGATATTCTTGCAATTTTACAGCTTTTGCTATATCAGTTTTATTTGGAGGCCACATGCACTCTCCATTTTTTATCCAGATGGAAGGCACAACTTCTACCTCATTGGTGTTGTCAAAAACAACTATGTGAAACATCTAAAGATTAAACAAATCAAAACCACATAAACATGCTATTTAGCCTACTGAAATACTAAAGCAAAAGGGCTAGTTGTCTCAATGCAATAGGGGAACAACAACAAATCGGTTTTGGAATGGTAATCTCACAAACTTCTGGGGCTTATTTCTAATCATGAAACATTTGATTTTAGAAGAGAGGTTGGAAACAACATAAATTCCCAGCTCTCTTGAGTCAATAGGATATGTAAAGAAGTGTTCCACCTGTTTATATTCATTGGCCACTATGTACACTACTCCTTTATCCTCAACAACGTTCTGGACCAACACCAACTTTTTGTCAATTTTGATGCAACAATCTCTCTCTTTGACCTTCACAACTACATCATCTGAAACAAGCACTTTATATTGACGAACTGGCACTGGCCCATCCATATGCTCATTTTCCAGTTTTTGAGTTGCCTCTTTAACATAAGGACTATAGCTGCCATTTTCCATCTCTGATAATCTCTCCCCAATATGGTGGCGCCTTTGACGTACGCTCCAGCGGCCAATAGGGCGTCTATGTATTTATTATGTCTATGTTACAGTAGGCCTAATTTTATCTCTCTGTGTCTCTGCATATTTGAAAATGTAAGAGGGCTTTGTATGTTGTTTATATAACACAAATTAGCATTAAAATGATCTTACTTTAAATTTGATAATCTCTATAGAAGATATAAATATCTTAAGGACATAAAATTGTTAAAATCCTCAAATCAATAGAATATAAACAAAATTAATCAATATCCTTATGATATTTATATTTTTGTGTGATGTTTCAGGTACCAATTGCTGCTATACATTTTAGTATGTTAATCAATCATGTATGTCACAAAAATTGGAATAAATAAATGTCTGTGATATAAAATAAAGATGTCTGATGTCATAACGTTAAATGTAATCGACGAACATTAGTCAACTTCTAAGTTACATTTTAACTAACATCTTTAACATTTAACTTTCCGACTCATAACTCTAAAATTAAAAATGATCACTTACCTAACTTCGCTCGCTTTGATGTGAGAAGTCTGCAACCATGCAACCGTTAGCGAAATGCAGTCGAGTGCATCAGTGCGCGCCCACTTCAAGTTCAAACTTCGGCAGCGCTGTATCCGGAAGTATCAATATATAAAAAGTGCAAACCCATGAAGCATTGCGGTTTAAGCCTAGTTCACACTACGTGATTTTAAGCCCGATTTAAGCCCGATTTGCAAATCGTTGAGTCGCCGACAAGTCCGGGTGTTATCGCGTGCAAATCGCGGGCGATTAGCGGACGATTAACGCTCGCCAATCCGTTAGTGTGAAAGAGCCAACAACGCACCAAAAACAGCTCGCAGACACCTCGCAGACAGGTCACCGAGCTCAGAAAAATATCTAGCATGCTAGATATCTCGAGCAGTCACGCGACTCAATCTCAGTGATGTCATGAGTACAGCCAATCATAGCAACGCATGGGTTGAGGACACCAGGTAAATCTTACTTTTTATTTTTTGCATTTTTTTTTCTCAGAGCAGATCGTCGAGCAATCAGTGTGCAGCACTAGTTTCTGTCTGACGTCCATATTCGCGTGTTGTGTTCTTCTCTGCAGTTTCGCGTCATTTCTGGTTCGTTTTATTGCGTGGTTTTTCGTTACAAAACATGGTTTCTAGACCAGATAGAATCGTGTTGTTGTCAACTCGTTATTTGTTTGATTATTTTCAGGATTTAGACCGTACTATAGTACTGAAACAGCTCTCATTGAGTCACAAATGATATGCTCTTATCATCCGATCGTGGTTGTATCTCTATGTAGTGCGTTGTCAACTCGTGTAGTGAGTTACCTCCTGTTGTGGATCAATCACGTTCTGTTGTGTGGTGTGAACAGCTAAACAACTTGAACACTCATGATTTCACTGAGAGCAAGTCATGTAGTGTGAACTGCACAGTTCAGCCCGACATTTTAAAATCATGTAGTGTGAACTAGGCATTAGGCGCGCTTTCTGTGCGCGTTTTTCTAGATGCGACCTGATTGTTAAAACTTTTACATTTTTTTTTGTGCCATATTAGGACGTTGTAAGAAGAAACGATCGGCATGCATGAAATGAGACAATCAAACAATTAAGTTCTATTGTATATTTAAAATTTATATTGTTTCATAATTTAAATTATTATTAATTAAACCTTGTTAATAGAGTGCAATGCTGCAAACAGGAATAGGGCTGTTTATGAAAATATTATCAATTATAAAATATCTGAAATTAACTGTGGGATAAGTCTGGCCAGACATATGCGGGTCACATTTCTATATTTTACGTGTGAGCCAAATAATACACTTAACCATGGCCCATATCCTGTTTGTTTTCCCATACAGCCATGGCCCAAAAGAATGTTTTCCCATACAGAAAAGTAATATATTCACAAATATGTGAAACACTGTAAAATATATTTAAATACATTTTGAAAATATATTTTTAAAATGAATAACATGTTATTGTTAAATAACATGTTAACATGTTCTTACAGTGTTTCACATCATGTGAATATATTACTTTTCTGTATGGGAAAACATTGGGATTTTATTCAAAAATATTTTAAAAGGATTTTAAATATGGCTCAAGATCGGCTATATACTTATGGCCCACATATCTATATTTAACATCTGGGCCAAATACTACATTTGACATCTGGCCCATGTCTTGGGTGCCGTCTTAAATCCAGTGCCATCTCTGCCAAACCCGGGCCATGTTTGGCCCACATGCTGTATGCCAGTGCCAGATGAATGCCAGCTGTGCCAGACACATGCCAATTCTGGGCCAGAATTATTTGCTACCTGGGAAATAGTTTAACCCACCATGGTAGAAATTTCATCTTTAAGATGTGTGTGACCATCATATGACAGTAAAAGAGCAGACAAAAATCTATTCTAATATGGAACCGTAATGGAATGGTAAAGAGTTCTGGTACGTGACAGGAGATGAACGTTTTTTTTTTTTTTTTAAACGGTCTCCGTGTAAACAACAAAAATGTGAATTTCTGAAAACAATGACGTCATGCACATATGTATTGCATTCTGTCTATATCATTGTGATCTGTGTGAATGGCGATCGCTTTGACAATTGTGTCGTCTGTATACGGAAAATCAAAGAAAAAAAATTTAAGCTACTTTTTTAAGCTTACTAAGGTAAAAAAAAAAAAAAACTGCTGAGACACTGTTGAGTTACTGTCAGAGTTAAAGCACTGATGAGACATGATTAAAACTCTTCCATGCATAGAAAGATATTTGAATATTGTTCTAAGAGGTAAAGCTGATAGATTTGCTTTACAACTTGATAAAGATTTGGTTGAGTACTTGTCTCCTTTAGGCTCTGTAGGCTATATAGTTTTCCTCCCATAGATCCTATTATTACGAAAAAGCTTAAGCAGTAAGATGGTGATAATAAAACTCAGTAGCCGATACACCTTATTGAACATGCAATGCGATATTGCACGTGAAGCGTTTTATAATGGTTTTCTATGGGTGTTGTTCATAATCTGATTGCCTTCTATAAAGTAAGCTTTATTGATAAGGTAAATATGGCGCTTCAATATCACTCTTAAAGGAGAAGTCCGGTGCAAAATGAACCTTTGGTCTAATAAAACATTGGTACCTTGTTGACCATTCTCTGAGATTTGTTGTAAAGAGTTTTATTTCTAAAACTGTTTAGCATATAACGCTAAAAAACTTTAATGCGTCGCGTCAAACCAAAAAACTGAACGAGGCAAAAAAAAAAAAAAAGACACTTTTATGAGTGGTGTTTTCCACGTCAGTGTGTACACTCATATTGGTGCCCTTTGATTAGTCACGAGCCGTTAAACGTCGGCAAATATCACGCGCGAAATTCATCCAGGTGTGAACAAGCCTTTATCCTACTTTTGGCTTTATATGCATGTATTGTCATTTGCTATTTTTTATTTTATTTTTAGTTTTTAATGGTTATTACAGTACTTGTCAGTGTACTACTGTGTAACCTAGTGGGTGAGTTCAATCACTCTGAACATATTTGGAACAAAACTAATGTGCTTTACTTAATGTCATTTTGCACAAAATATTTCTTGACTAATGTAAATGACCTATGTCCTGGAATGTATCACATCACTCCTGCATCCTTTTTAAAGCTCGGAAGCCAGCATCCAATAAGTGAAACCACTAGCTCTATAAAAACTTTGTGTGAGCTGCGTTTACCTCGTTTTATCTTGTCATATTCATTCTTGCCCTTCCTCTTGTTCTTCTTATGTTTCTTGCTTTTGGTTTTCTTGTTTTTGCTTTTCTTTGTTTTTTTTCTTTGACGGGTCCCTTCTGAACTTGAACTTGAAGAGAAGTTATCACATGATTCTTCTGTGTTCCCATCACTAGATAGGTCAACAGTGCCAGTTTCTTCATGTGCCACTGATGTTCCAGGAATCAGATCATCTGAATGAAGAAATATAACAAATATTGCATCAAAGTCAATATAAATGCAATATACATTTTCAAGTTCCTTTTATTGGCATTGCATTATACATAAAAGGAAATGCAGGTGTACTATCTGAAACAGTGCTCAAAATATATTTTAAGAATAAAAATATGGAAACCACACCTCTAAAATATATAATCTATACAATCCAATGTATATAATGCATAGATTATACAATGAATGTTGAGCTGTTACTTTGCTGTGCTGAAAGCTCCACAACTTGCTGCCGAAGGTCACTGTTCAGGGCTTCCAACTCATTCACTTTATTTTGTAATACTTCGGCCTTGTTCTGCCACATCAGTATTTCTTGCTTTATTGGCTTCATTGTATTTACTGGAGCTAAAACGACAACAAAACACAGTGACAGTTTCACTGTTGAATACAGTGATAAGACAATTATGTAGTTAACAGAGTTAACATCACTATACAAAAGTAACAGAGTAAATAACTATATTAAGAGAAAAGAGATTTCCTATACATTGAAGAGCACAAATAAAATTAAAGAGCCCCTATCATAGCATTTGAAATGTTCCTATTTTTGTTTTAGGAGTTCCCAAAAACAGTTTAACATGCATGCAAGGATAAAAAACACTTTATTTGTTTTATAATATGCATTTATTTTTAACTGATTTTCTCACCGACTCCCAAATGATTCGTACAACGACTCATTTTTCCAAACCACTCCTTTACCACAATTATTAATAATACTTACAGGTTTTGATTCATAGGAGGAAGCTGATCCATATACACTGGGTAAGTAAGTTACTGAGCCCTCCTTCAGGAACAACCGCTTGCGAATCCACATTTGAATTCATTTATGTTTTTGAACGATTCATAATTAAAATGATGTGAACACAACCGGGCTATTGAGAATGAGGAGGTGATACGCGTCACGCGTATAACTCCGCGGTGCATTGTGGGAGGGATCCGCCATTTTGGGAGGACACGCTATCTGTTGTCATGGTTACTTCGACCTTGAGACTGAGAGAAATAGCGACAGAGAAGGAGTGCAACTTGATATTTATTTGTATTTTTGCGATAAGGCACACTTTCTTGGGAATAAATGAAGCAAAAGGAGAGGGTCTCTATCGGGAGAGACTACATAACAACACTAAGCAGCGTTATTTAGAGAAACTACTTGACATCAACATACAGTAGGACCCTTACGACCTACTACAGAATGGACGAAAGACCCGAAGCACTACCACCTTTCACACACCCTGACATAGTCAAGCACCTGGTTTGGTAACAGTGCTTAACGTTACTGCTACACAATGCAAGAATTCAGAAGCTTTAAGTCATTAGAAGCTTATGAACAATTCTGCCGCGGCTGCAAGAGAAACCCCCAAACCTGTAACGTTAAACTGCGAGAATTCAGTCAAACTTGATGTTTCAGGCTTCATTCATATGTGGAAATAAATCTGTTTCGAATCAGATACATGCATTTGCAACATCAAGCGGACAGATAAAACATTCCCCTGTAAATGCGAATCGTACGTCATTAAAAAAGTGTCTTTTTAAAAGATTTCGCGGTACAGATATATCTGAAACAAATTAAACAACTCTAGTTGAATAACAGAGTATTCATTTCGTTTGTTTGTGTTAAATAAAAGGCGAACTGTGCTGAAATGTATTGCTTTTGACATCATGCTTTGCTCACTGTTGCTCATGCTGTTGCCGCTGTCAGTTTATCCACAAGCAGTTTCTCTAAATAAAGCTGGCTAGCATTGTTATAGAACCACTTTCATTTCTCATCCTTCTCCATATCTTCCAAAGACACTGCCGTGTATCGCTAAAATGTAAACAAATACTGCGCCGTGCTGTCTCTCTCACGCTATTTCTGGCATATTTAGTCGTGCCTCTATGACTGTGTAGATCTGAAGGCATTGCCCCTGGCAACCGATAGTGTATCCTCCCAAAATGGCCGACCGCCTCAGACCCCGCACAAATCGGCACATGACTCCTCACTCTCAATACTGTTGTGGTATCTTTGCAAACATGAACTCTAACCACCGATTCTTCACATGCTCGTCACTGGTAAATGATAACAAAGTGGCTGAACTATCTTTGAATTGTAGAACACAGCGTCTTCTCGACATGATGCTATTGTAACCGGAATGAGTAGACTATCCCTTTAAATGGGCAGATGACGTAATGGGTAGGCTGTTTAAAGTCTCGCGGCCGGTAAGGAAAGGGGTTTGTCTGGCCCTCGTTCTACGCTCAAGGAGCGAGTTGTGTTTCTTCCTCTGCTGGCGCGTGGAAAGAGTTGATCCATTGATAAAGGTCTTTTCTGCACCAACGATTGTTCTGAGAATATGGAGTATTAATACTTTGCTGAGTTGCCGGCTGCGTTTCAACACGTCTGCTTTCAATGAGACTTATTGTAATCCTCCATTAAGTGAGCCGTACCGTACCGGCAACGAGTATTAATACTTTGCTGAGTTGCCGGCTGCGTTTCAACACGTCTGCTTTCACTGAGACTTATTGTAATCCTCCATTAAGTGAGTCGTAGCGTATCCAGAACGTTAAACCCTTTCGTGGCAAGCAGCCGCCGTTTCTTTTCCCTCACCAAACTTGGAATTTGATTACTTTATATTTTGTTGATTTGTTATAATTTAATTTTTTTTGTTTCAATTGTTTTCAAGGGTTGTTTGTCTTATTTTGGAATTTGATTACCTTATATTTTGTTGATTTGTCATAATTAAAGCTTCTTGTTTCAATTATTTCCAAAATTTGTTTGTTTTATCTAGGAATTTAATTTAATTACTTTGTGTTTTGTTTATTTGTTATACTTTAAGACTTGTGGTAGTTATGATTCCTTTCTGAAATCTGTTTAAGTTATCGCTTCATGGGAGGTCTTTTTGGGTTGTGTTTGATGTGTTGTGGTTGATTTATGCCGTGGTTAATTTCCTCCCATGGGGTGTATTTCTCATTTCATTATTTCAGATTGATTTGTGCTACTTTAAGTGTTATTTCTGTTTCTTTTGTTCTTTCTTTCAATTATGATTTGGTCAGATTCATTAATCTGAGGTGTAAGTTGATTTATTTTCTTTAATTGTATTTTTGGTTGGTTTTGAACATTGTTTTCATTTTTTGAGTTTTTTTTAAGTTTCTATTTTTTTCTCAGAGTGAAACTTGGGCGAGTTGAGTGAACTGTGGTAGTTGTTCAATTTGCTTGGGTTTTTTTTTCTTTTTTTTGTGATTGATTAACATGGTTGCCAACCAAGTATGCTGTAAGAGAAGGACGGTGTTTGTCATTTAATAAAGTAACTCAACATTTTGTACTCTGGCTTCTGGATCATTTAATTGAACCGCCTGTGTAGAAAAAAAAGAAAAAGAAAAACTTTGTCAGGGTCCCCCATCCCAGACTTTGGGGGTGGCGTAGTCCGGTTGGTCGACAATTTTAAAAGCCAAAGGTTACACTATGATGAAGTATTTGAATGTGTAGACTTCAAGTTTACACTTCCGTCTGCGCACGTCACGATGTAACAGCTAATGACTCGTTTCAAAAACAATTCATTTCATAGACTCAGAGTCGACTCTCACTTTTGAAAGACAATAACTTTATATACGGTGCACTTTCAGATATAAATCTTTGCAGGATGTTTTCATTCCTTTAGAGCTATATTCCACACCGTATGAACAGTCATTTTCAAAAATCCATGATAGGGGCTCTTTAAAGAAACCAGTGTCATAAGTATAAGAACTGCTTTGCTAAATGATTAAAGTTTTACAAATGGCTTACCTTCACATTCATCCTCTAGACTTCCTGCATTGCGTTTTTTACGGGTATTGTAATGTGACATCTAATAATCAAAAAATAAATACATTAATAAATCATTTCACACAGGGGCGCAACTACCCAGTTTCAGAGGGGTATGCAGCAACAATTTTAGCGCCCCCCCCCCCCCCCCCCAAAAAAAAAAGTTTTAGTTAGTGTCTGTCTACATTACACTACTACATAATAATAGTTATAATATTAATCCCATGATAGTAATAGCCAAGGCTATTGTAAAACAAATGCACAGAAAAATAAAGGAAACTTTCATAATTAGTTTTGCACTAATTTCTATACTTGAAAGATACTTGCGCATAATGACGTATTTCATGGGCCAGTGTGTCAGAAAAAAAAACTAAAGCTGACTTTTTTTGACCAATGCATTACACCAGCACAGCGCCGCCAATTAAGCAAAAAACAAAACAAAAACAAACAACAAACAAATGGGCCGCCGATGTATGAGTTTTGTGGGCCGTTAAGACAAATAAATTAAAAAAGGATGAAATGTATTGGCTGAAAAGCACGTCGGCCCAGTGGGAATCTCCCGGTAGTCCCGATGGCCACCGAGATATAGATAGCCTACATGTGTTGGGATGTCACATTTTAAATCCTACCTGTTGGCTTTCAGCAATGCATGCAGTTATTTAGCTGCTGTCGTATCAATTGACATGCCATCTCCTTTTCTCTCTTTCTTTTTCTATTTTTAGCCCCACAGCATTTTGTTTAATCCATCTTTTTCGACGACAACTCACTACTCGTACCTGCTCGCTCAGCGCTCACGGCGCCCCCGCCCGCTCGCGATATTACCCGCCCCCCTTCTCCATGAGGGCGCCTACTCTAGCCTAGCTGTTAGTCCTCTAAAATTTTATATAACAATGAAGGAATGCAGAAATGATTTAGAAACGCACAACGGCAGCTACATATAGAAATACAATATAGCCTATATAATTTTTTTTTTTTTTTTTTTTACCAT